ACAGCGGCCAGTGTAGGTCTCCCAGTTCTGTGCATAATCATGATTATAGCAATCAGGAAAGAGGTAGAAGCCCCAGAGGTGTCGAGGTCGCACTGTCTTGACGTAGCGTAGTGTCTCCAGCATGAACTGGCGCGCAGCAAACTCAAACTCATACTGTGCTTGTTTGACTATTCGATCTGCGGGCCAATCAGGGTGGCGGCTGGCTACCAGCTGGCGTGATGATTGGCGGTACACATCCTTGTCCTGCCAGTTGCGTACCCACACAGGCCGCCAGTCCTCCCAGTCAATGACTGCTAGCCCTGGGGGTTCCTGGGTACGAATGTAGTGCTCAACAGATTTCTTCAGCATCTGTAGGTGTGCCCAGAGGCTGCCATTCTGTGGTACACCGCCATGCACGGACATCCCGGTTGAATCAAAACGTGGATACAGGCTGAGGCGGTTGTAGTAGAAGATGGTGATATTCTGGTTCACAAAACCTTCATTAGGTGAGGCCTTCACATCAAAGACACTCAGGTCGAGTGGCACCTTGTGGCGTGGGGCACAGTCCTGTGTGGGCACATCCCAGGCTACCACAAAGGGCCGGCCTGTGAAGATGGGTGGCGTTGTGGGCTTGAGCTCCGCGGCCCATGCCACCGCCAGGACCAGAGCCAATGTGATAATGGGACCCAGGCCTGTCCACATGCTGGGCACTGCAGGCAAGATCACCTGCCCAGCACCAGCTCAGGAGCTGAAAGAAGGGTAGGAGTGAACAAGTTTAGGCTGGAGTGTCCAACCTGAACACCCTCTGTGCTATAAAAGCCCAGGCTAGGGGGGGAGAAGGGGGAAGGCTCTGTGTTCTTGGCTATTCAGACCACGGAAGAGAGAGATCACAGGTCACAGACAAGAATCTGCACAAGAATCTTACACCTTTGACCCCCGCAGGGAGGGGTGGTGGTGGCTAGAGGCACCTAGATGCTTCAGAAAGGCCTGAACTCCAGCCGCCCCCACCCCCCAACTTTTCTCATCTACCCAAGAGAAGAATCCTGGATCCACAGAAACCACAATATGGTAAGGCAGGACACTCGACCCAGACCGAAATCTGGACACAGCTTCGGTGGCAAAGAGGCCTGAAGTCGGGCGCACAGACTCAGTCCCAGGCTTGGAGGAGGCCCCGCGGGGACAAAGGGGGGCAGTGGTCCTCCAGCCCCCCCTCCACCCCCCCACACCGACCTGCCCTTTCCTCCCTCTATGGCCATCCAGATCGGGCAGGCGCGTGCCTCGCCCTCCCCACGCCCCCCCCACCCCAGCGCATGGGGGGGGCCCGGGTGGAGAACACACCGCCGGCCTTTGTGCGGGACCCCGCCTCCAGCCCCCACGTGGGGCTGCAGCCCCCAGGGGAGGTGGGGTTCCACGGCCATCTCTCGGGGGGGGGGGGTGATGGGGGGGGGTTCATGGTCCAGCGTGGGTCCCGACCGAGCTCACCTCGCACAGGGTGCCACGGGAACCCACGCCCGGGCCGCCGCCGCCATGCCGGGCCCAGCCTCAGCCCCGGCTCGCTCCCTCTCGCTCTCTCGCTCGCGGCCTTTGAGCCTGCCCCCCCTCCCCCCAATCCCCACCAAGCACCGCTGCGTGCAGGTTCCGCCCCCAGGCCCGCGGCTCCTTTAAGAAGCCGCTCGCCGGGGTGGGCGGGAGACGCGATGTGAGGCCGTGGCGCGGGGGGCGCGGGGGGCGCTGGCTCCGCTCACACCGCACTTGGGGTTCGAGGGCCGCTGAGCTCTGCTGCCGTGGGATGTGGCTCCCTATCTGCTAACCCGAAGCCGCTCGGACACGTGACTTCGGCGGGAGTCGCGGCCTCCCGAGTCCGTCAGCTCCCCTCTCCCCCCCCCCCATAGGCCGCCGTCGGTGGTACAGCCCTCCCCCCCCCCCCCCCGGGCGGCCAGTCTCTTAAAGGGACAGGGTAAGAGAAGGGTCGGGGGACCGGCGCGCGGGGGGGGGGGGGGGGGGGGAGATGCTATGGGACACCTAAGGCCTGGGTTGAGGGGCAGCTGCGCGTCTAGTTGTGCACCCCCTGAGTGTTGTTTCTAGCACTTTCTGAAAGTCCCGGTCTCCCACCGCTCCCAGTGGGGCAGTCTGAAAGGAAGCCCCGCCCCCTGCTCAGCCCGGCCCCGCCCCCTGCTCGACCCGACCCCGCCCCCTGCTCGACCCTGCTCGGACCGGCCCCGCCCCCGGACCGGCCCCGCCCTCGGCTCGGCTTGGCCACGCCCCCGGACCGGCCCCGCCCTCGGCTCGGCTTGGCCACGCCCCCGGCCCCGCCGGGGCCCTGGAGCCAAGCGCAGCCTCCCAGCCCTGCTAAAGGGGCCGGGCCCAGGCCGGGGTTGTCCTGGAAACTCTGGGTCGCTTCCATGGCGGGCGGGGTCGGGATCGGGGAAATTCAGAGGGGCCAGGGGGTGAGGTAGGGTGCCCTCTCCCCCGTCCTGCGTGAGAAAGGAGGCATCCCGGCGCCAGTTTCCTGGGATCCTCTCCTATCCAGTATTGGGGGAGGTGGGGGGGGGGAGGGAGCAGGAGGGGGGGGAGGGTGCCCTTACTCCGATGAGGGTGCCACTTTTACAGAAGTTTGGGGCCCGGACCCCAGAGGCATCCGACTGGATGGAGGGGCTCCCGGGGCCCCAGAACCCCTTTCACCTCCCAAGACCCTCCTGACCTGGGGGGGGGGTAGTTTGGGAGCTGGAGGCCCCGGGTGAGATTTCACCTCTTAAGATCCGATCTTGGGTCGGGCACCCAGTTTTTCCCCCAAGAGTCCGTGCTCCTTTCTCTCTTTAACCCCGTCTCCTTCCCGCGTGCAAGTGAAGGCCGTGGGGCGCGCAACGGGCTCACCTGTGTGGGAGTCTTTGGGGCCTAGTAGGAGGACGATGGGGGGGGGGTTCTTCCTTCTTGAGGCGAGCCTCTCCCGGCCAGGTTACTCGCGCCAGCTGTGGCCCACTGGGCAGCCCGGACCTAGGACTCCCCATTCCCTCCCTTCCTCCCTCCCTCGCGCTCCTCCCGCGCCTCCCATCCCAGCCCTTTTCTCCTCACTTCCTGCTGCCCCTCGGAGAGGAAAGGGCTAGGAACAGGGGCGGGGAGGGGGGGAAAGGGAGGGGGAGGAGATCGCCTTCTTCACCGTTTTCCATCCTTATGCCCTGCTAGCCATCTGCCCTTTCCCAAGCCCTTCCTGAGTAGGCTCTAACCCCACCACGGGCTGTCTCAGGTTGCCAGGGAGGCCCTGGGTCCAAACGCAGGTGCCAGTTTCTCCGTGCCCACAAGAATCTATTTGCTTGAACTTTTCCTGATGTTAGGGGTCGTCCTTAAAATCCATGAGAGTGTGTGAGGTGGTGGGCTTTGTGGGAGTCAAATGACTTGGGGCTAACAGTCAGCTGATTGTCCTCTAGAGCAGGTGCCAAAGAAGGGAATCAGCCCTGGTGAGGGGGGAGGGTTGGGGGAACTTCCAGGAGCTGAGTCATTTTTTTTTTCCCCTAGTGAGAGTGGAAGAGTCCCCCATATGACAGAGGGGACAGTGTGTTGATGAGTGTGGCTGTGGGGGGGTGCTCTCCTGCTGGCTGGGTTTAGAGTCTGCTGCACAGAGTGGAAGCCCTTTACCACATGGACTAGGAAAGGTGTGCATTCAATATAGATGGCGCCGCAGCGGGTTGTAGCAAGTTTCCAACAGAGTTCTCCAGTGCAGATAAATCTACCTACCCCAAACCTGCTTCTCAGCACCCCACAAGCTCACTTTTCCAATACCCAGAGGTCCCCTCTTGGAACAGAAGGTTGTATGGGGGCTGGGGAAGTTGGGTACATACCTTGGAGTCTGTCTCTCAGGAAATGGCAGGGGAGGGGACATTGTCCTTGTACCAATGTGTTGGTTTCACAAGAGACAGAGGCTCCAAGGGTGGGGACCCCTGGTACAACAAAGGCCAGGCCTGACTGTCCCCAGGCAGGGACACTTCCTCCAGCAGCACAGCAGGAAGGAAGTGAGCACAGCCCAGTGGGAGGGAGTAGGGAAGCACTGCCCTGCTCCCATTGTCTCCAGCTTTGGGGTCAGAGGGCCAGGTCCAGCCCAGGGAGTTCCCCCAGGCTGGAGCGTGGTGGCGGGAGATAGGATGTTGTCTGGTATGTATTGGTGAGCTCTGGCTGCTGAAGAGCCAGTTGGCAAGGTGGGTGGGTGGGTGGATGGCAGAGGTGGGTAGAGGAAGTCAGGATCTTAGGCCTGGCATATTATGGGGGGATGGGAAGGCAGCTCACAGAAGTGCGAGGCCAGGCTGCAAGGGACTTGGCAAATTCAAGACTTTGGCAGGCCATTTTCCCCTCACCCAGATGCCTGGATGCCCACATTCCTCCACCTTCTCTACCTGTAATTTGTTGAGGTGATGGCAAAGACTAGGCCTCGCAGAGAACGTGCCTCATAGCAGGCCCAGAAAATTCGGCAGAGAGCAAAGAAAGTATTTGGGGCGGGGGGGTGGGGGGGCTGCGCCTTGCCTTCTGGGAATAAAAGCCCAAGTTCCTTTTCCCAGTGGTGGCCTGGGAGGAGGCAAGGGAGCCTGGGTCGCAAAGCCTGGTGGTAGGCCACGAGTGTGGGTGACACCTGTCTGGTAGCTATTCATCTAAGGTCAGGCCTGAGGTCCATGGGACTTTAGCTGTTAACTTCACTTGAGGTCAGATGACAATATCGGGATAGTTCTGGACTATTCCAGACCTATCTGAACTATCTGGGGTCAGATAGCTGGGGCCAGTCAATAGTGAAATAGCTACAAGACCTCTGATTGCCACCACAACCAACAAGGGACAGGAGCGCCTGTGGTCATATCTGTGCAAACACAGCCATCTGCTGGTCATGACTGGTATTGCTACTGGCAGAGCTGAGGTTTACCACTCTAGGTGTTGGAGGTGGAAGGGAGCCAGCCCCCCAGCCCAGGCCTACCTATGGAGCTGGGGCCGTAGCCTCCACATTTAGTGTCCCCAGTTCCGTAAGATGCCACTCTCATATGCAGGATCTACAAATAATTTTATTGAAATTGAACAAATAACAACAGTCTTCCTATGCTGGGGGTCACCCACCCCAAGCCATTTCCCACACTCCAGAAGCACAAAGCTTACACAATAAAGAATTAAAAAAAAAAAAAAAAAAAAAAAAAGAAGTCATCTCTATATAGAAATCAGACTCTGCCCCAACATCATCCTGGAACTAGATTATTTACAAACCTTCACATTTTAAGTATTCCTTTTATGGTCTTTCCCTCCTTTCTGTCCCTATCAAGGGGGCTCCAGTACTTTCCCTTGAGTGATCCTGAAGAGGTGAAGAGATTTCAGGGGAATGGGTGGTTGGGTTCCTTATAGTGGCACCAGCTCTACTGTGTGGTTCACCCCACTGGACAGTCCCTCTCAAACAGGGTAAAAGGAGCTGGTGGAAAGGCTAGGGAGATAGAACAGAACAGGTGGCTTGAGACACCTCCCCACAGGCACAGCCCGTCCCGACCCTGGCTTGCACCCTTTTATCTGGGGAGGAGGGCAAAACTAGTTGCAGGGGGGAGGGATCAGCCTAGCCCTGCTTGAAGGAAGAAGCCTCCAACACCAGTATCCATTCCTATGAACAGTTAGTAAACTGTCCATCCCAGAGTGGGAACAAATGGCAGGTAGGCAGGAAGAATCAGGCTGGTGCTGCCCCCACCTCTGTCCAATACAGGAGGAATCGAGGTAGCAAACGGCTGAAATGCTCCAACTAGGGGGTAAGGGAAGTGAGGGAAGGAAGTTCCCACGTGTGTTCAGCCCCCACAGCCCAGGGGCTGGAAGAAGGCAGACTTTGCTTGTAAAGTGCTGTAGCTTCTAGCAGGGTTGGGCCCTAGGCAAGCTTGGAAGAAAGCAGGCCAAGCAAGGAACCTGCAACCAGGCATTCTTGACTGGCATGTGGCCTGCCATGCTTCTTGCAGGGGTGGTTGGGGAGGGTAGACTGGAAACTTTGCCATTAGCTTTACCAGCCACCAACCACCTCTTGCCCACAAACAAACCATTGCCTGATTAACACCAAGGGACTTGCCCTGCTCACAGCTGAAAGTTCTGGGCCATTGGAGTCTATTCAGGGTTGTGGCCACAGCCTGGACTCCTCGGTGGAAGTCACACTTGAGTTACTTGCTGGGACAGGGAGTGCTTGTGTCTGCCACCCCCAGGCTCACACCTCATAGAGGATCACAGGGAAATCCACATGGATGCGGGGAGGATCCAGCTTCACGATGCCCTGCCATGGAAACAGAGGCTAGTGAGGGTTGGCTCAGAGGTCTTTACTCCAGGAAGCCTTCCTGATCTTCCCAGCTCCTCCCCCAGTAGACCTCTTTTCGGTCTATGGCAACGTACTTGATGTGAATTCTATGGCCACTGCCCAGCCCCTCACCTGAGGAATCAGATTCTTATGTACCCGCCTCAGCTTGGCCCGCTTCTGCCCATTCTTGGTGATGATTGTCTCCTCATAGAATTCATGAGCCAGATCTCCATCTTCATCATAGAACATGGACCTGTGGAGAAAACAATAAACTGTTCACGGCAAATGCCACAGACCATGGAGAAGCATGAGCAGCTTTGCTTGAACTTTGGTTCAAGCAACCAAAGCTACTTCTCATCACTGGTTTGGTTCTATACGAGCAGCCATTCCGACATCAGGCCTTTCATTCAGGGATTCTACAGAGGGCAAGATGGTGGCTTAGGGATGTTGGTTTCATTCCAGAACACATTACTAGCCAAGTGCCAAAGAGTAAGATGTGAATGTCTGAGCTGGGAAGGAGAGGAAAACTGCCTCCCTTCCTCCCAGCGGCCAATGCAGCCACCCTTTCCACCATAGAGTGCCAGAAGCTCACCTAGGACCAGATCATTCTGGTGCTCCTGTGGAAAGAAGAGTTAAGTCCGCATTCCAGATCTGGGTGAGGGTCTCACTTTAAACATCGGGTATCCCAGCCTTGATTTCCCAGTCACTACTATGGGAAGGGGTGGGGTGGTCCAAGCGGAAGGAAGACATCTAAACCGTAAGTCATTCTCCCCCTTAGCATAAGGGGAGAGGGAGGGTATTAGTCTCCAGTTTGCGCGCAAGAGTTGGAAGGAATGACAAGGAGATCGTGAAGGCTCGTGGCTATCCTCTCTGAGGAGTAGCGCATGCTCAGGGGGCCAAGCCTCGGTTCCACCCTTCTCTGGGAACACCTTCAGAAACCTCTAGGCCTTGTGGGGCCACGGCCCGGCTTTCCCCACCCCTTTGCTCCGATGGGGGAGCAAAGATGGGAGTTGTCTTCCCTCTAACGAGGGGGGGGGGAGAGGGAAGGGGTTTGTCCGGCTCCCCCTGCGCGACGGAACCCCGGGCCCTCACCCGCGGCGCGTGAACACGAAGGGTGGCACCGCACGGGATCGAGGCCGCACCAAAGCTTGCTCAGTGCCCGCCGCCTCCGGGCCGCCGCCCCCCGCTGCCGAGGTGAAGGGCCAAAGGCCCCGAGCTTTGGAGCCGCTGGCGCCCATGTCAGGGCCGCCGGCGCATGGCGGTCCCCGCGGCCGCTCGGCTCTCACAGCGCAGCGGGCACCACCATGCCCAGCCCCGGCCTCCGCTCGCAGGTGCCGCCGCCGCCGCCGCCGCCGCCGCCGCCGTCTGCGGGCTCGGCTGTCTCCAAGGAAACCTCACTTCCGCTTCCGCACGCTGCCCCCTCTGATTGGCTGCTACTCTCGTCGTTCTTTGGGGCAAAGCCAATGGACTTCCTCATAGATATCCCAGCATGCTCTGTGGAACCCCCCCCCCCCCATCCCAGCAGGCTCTGCGCTCGTCACTGGGGCAGCTGGGCTTCCCAGGGAGGCTTTGACTGAGCTCTGCCCCCCGCGGTCCGGTTGGTGGTCTCCCAACACCAATCTCAAGCCCAAAGGGCACATTAAACCCAGACCCCGCAAACCAGCGCTTTGGTCCTGATGAAGACCAGGGTGCCAAGGTGGCCATTTGGCTTTTATTTTCACAGCTCTTTTTGTGAGGAGCAGAATCTAAGGGATTTTATGTGATGTATGGAGAGTAGTAAAAGCCCTTGAAATTGTTTTGAGGGATAGAGGGAATGAAGTGGATGAGGGCACACTTTCTGCAAACACGATGTCATGTGATAAACCCCTTGTACAAGTAATGATGCTAACTAAAAATGTTACACAAAATGTTAAAAGTAGAAAACTCTCCCCTTCCCTCCCCCCCCCCCCCCACGCGGGTCTGGGTGCTGTCCCTGAGCTCTTTTGCTCAAGGCTCATACCCTACCCTTTAAGCCACAGGCGACTTCAGGTTTTCTGGTGGTTCACTGGAGATAAGAGTCTCATGGACTTTCCTGCTTGGGCTGGCTTTGAACCATGATCCTCAAATTTCAGCCTCCTGAGTAGCTAGGGTTACAGGTGTGAGCCACCAGTGCCTGGCATTTTTTTCTTTTTTTAGCCAATGGGTGGGGCTTGAACTCAGGGCCTGGGCAACCTGAACTCTTCAACTCAAGGCTAGTGCTCAACCACTTTAAGCCACAGGGCCACTTCTTTTCTGGTGGTTCATTGGAGATGAGTCCTAAGGACTTTCCTGCCCTGGCTGGCTTTGAACCATGATCCTCAGATCTGAGCCTCTAAGTAGCTAGTTTGTTTAAGCCTAAGAAAATCTAATAACTAGCTTTACAGTTTTACAGCTGCCGAGGTCTGAAGAGCTTCAAATTCAGTGTTCTTTCCAAACTAAGCAATGTGTGCTTCATAAAAAACAAGAATTGTTAACAACCATAGGTGCCATGTGTGGTGTCTGGTCTGCAGTTTCTCCCAGAGCTTGGTGCATGTTAAGAGACTGGTTTCGCAAGCTCTAGCTGCAGCCTATCTTGACCCCCACCCCACCCCCCCACAACTTGAGACCCAGGGTGCTGAGTGATAAGGGTATACATCGTCACATTGGTCTCAAGGCAACTTCTCCCCAAAGATGCCCTGCAATCTTGCCATCAGGGCAACAGTGGCTTGCGCACACACAATAAAGAGTCCAAAAGCAGGAGGGCTTTTTCATCTTTATTCAGCCAATTCTTTCAGGCCTCAGGCCCTGATGATGACTGTCATCCCTCATCCATTTTCCCACAGGAGGCATTCAGTTGAGGCCATAAAACATTACATACATTCACACACTTCATTAAGAAAATCTGAGGGAGAAACCCTAGCTTTGGCAAACAAGGAATGGGCCTGGCCCAGAGACTTCCTCCTTGGGGGCAGCACTGAGGCAGCTCCCTGACCTTAGGAAGTTGTGACTCATAAGGCACTAGAGAGAGAACCAGAGAGTCTACCTCGATGTCTGCTTTACTCTGAGCACCCACTCTTGGCTCTAATTAGGGCTATCCTGGGACTTTGTCCAAGACCCCAAACCTTTCCCCACCGATCAGGGCCCCCATCCCTGAAAACACCACGCTTTTGTGTTTGGAGAGTCTCCCAAGATTCTCACTTTTGAGAAATGAAGTACGGAGACTCTTGTCTGCTCCACCCCTGCTGCAAACCTGGAGCTGCTGCTACCTAGAGTAGCCCTGGCCCACTGTGACCCTGAACGTGAGGGTCAGAGGGGCGGCAAGCCATGCCCTGCTACACCCACCGGTGGACACGGGGACAGCTTCTTTGCTCTTTTCTGGGCTTATTTCCCTCAACAGGAGGGAACCTGCACGCACACTCACTCTTCAGGCCCAATGGACTCGCTCACATTCACACGGCACGCGCTTGGCACTGCCTGCACTCCTCCTGCCAGCCAGGGGTCTAAGAGGTCATCCCAAAGGACAGGAATGTAGGGCTTCTTGGATCTTCTGGCGGCAATGGGAGTACTTCTGGAGGATCTGGCGAAGGTGCTCCTCTTCCTCTCGCTGCAGGATACGCAGGAAGTTGTGTAGTTCAGGCATGCTGAAGGCATCCCACTGCAAGGGGGGACAGGGGGGACACAGGCTGCAGCAGGCTCAAGCAACCCAGCAGAACCCCTCCAGAGAAAATCAGCACATCATGGTCACCCAGGCTAGGACTGTGTGGGCTTTCTGATGTTGGGCTTTTATCTGAATAGTCAGTGCCAGGGATCCCCAATAGCAGTCTGTACATAAAACGAATCCCACAAAGTTACCTCAATTAAGAGGCACTAAATGGATGTTCCTTAACTACTCGTTGTCAGGTTGTGCCCAACTCTGAATCTAATCCAAATTGCATAGGACTGGGTGCCAGTGGCTTATGCCTATAATCCTAGCTATTCAGGAGGCTGAGATCTGAAGATTGTGGTTTGAAACCAGTCTGGACAGAAAAGTCCATGAAACTCTTATCTTCAATAAACTACTCAGAAGCTGGAAATGTGGCTTAGTGGTAGACTGCTTGCCTAGCATGCATGAAGCCCTGGGTTTGACTCCTCAGTACCATATAAACAGAAAAGGCCAGAAGTAGCACTGTGGTTCAAATGGGAGAGTGCTAGCCTTGAGCACAAAGAGGCTCAGGGGCAGTGCCCAGGCCCTGAGTTCAAGTTCTAGGACCAGCAATAAAAGGAGATGGGGTAACGGAGCAAAATCAGGGCCTTTGTACATCTAAGCACTAACTACACACTTACTGTCTTTTTGTTGTTGTTGCTGCTGCTGCTTGTGGGGCTTGAACTCAGGGCCTGGGTGCTGTTCCTCAGCTCAAGGCTAGCACTCTACCACTTGAGCCACAGCGCCATTTCTGGTTTTCTGGGTGGTTTATTGGAGATAAGAGTCTCACAGCCTTTCCTGCCTGGGCTGGCTTTGAATTGCAATCCTTGGATCTCAGCCTCCTGAGTAGCTAGGATTACAGGCCTGAGCCAGCCCACCCGGCTTGATGAAGGTATATAGTATGCACATATAGATATGTCAAAATGAAACTTCCCTGTACAACTAATTGATCCTAAAAAAAAAATTGGGGGCAGCCGGGCGCTGGTGGCTCACGCCTGTAATCCTAGCTACTCAGGAGGCTGAGATCTGAGGATCGCGGTTCAAAGCCAGCCCGGGCAGGAGAGACCGTGAGACTCCTATCTCCAATAAACCACCAGAAAACCGGAAGTGGCGCTGTAGCTCAAGTGGTAGAGCGCTCGCCTTGAGCTGAAGAGCTGAGGGACAGCGCTCAGGCCCAGAGTTCAAGCCCCACGACCGACAAAAAAAAAAAAAAAAAAAATTGGGGGAAAAAAATAAAGTCTTGAAATTCTTGAAGAGGAGCCTGTGCTGTATTGGTCTTGGGCATTTATGTGGCTTTGATCTGATCTAGGCTTAGCATATGGTCAGACAGATGCCTCAGGGTTTGGAATATTAAGCACCAGGAAAGACCAGAATACCAAGACAATTCTTTCTGGGTTCTTGTAACAGGCTGTTGGTCCTGACATAAGTGATCTGGAACCTTCCACTTTAGTTACAAGGTTCATACACTCCTGGGAAAGGCTTTGCAGAGTTTGTCCTCCAGCTCTATTCCTTCTCTAAGTCTTTGGACTTTCTTGCCCAGGCTGGCTTTGAACTGCGATCCTCAGATCTCAGCCTCCTGAGTAGCTAGGATGACAGGCGTGATCTACCAGCGCCCGGATCTTCCCAGTCTTAATGCAGCCTTACTAGGTGACAACCAAGACTGTAAGGAAGACCATACTCACATTCACTTCCCCGGGGTCATTCTCCTTCAGGACGAAGCTCAGAGCCTTCTCACTGGGTCCTGCAAGAAGTCGTATCTTCAGGGGCTGTTCATCATCTGAGAGCTTCCGGGAGTACACTAAAGGCCAGGAGGGGAAAAGGATGAATCAATCAGAGACAGGCCTAGCTGCCTCCGCCCCTGCATGCACGGATACATGCCTGTGTAGGTTCATAGAGGGCAGAGGAGGAGAGGAAGCCTGCCTTGTCCATGACGCTCAGCCCGTTCAAAGAGTGCAAATTTCCGGGGATCATCAACCACCAAGAATTTGCGAAGCAGAGCCTCGATGACCTCGCGTGCCCGAGTGCGGGACAGGACGTGTAGGTGCTTGATAGCATCCTTGGGCAGGTAAAAGGAGGTGCGGCGCTTCACAGCTGTGCCCCGCCCTGTGCCTCGCCTGGCGTCCTGTAGAGAGGGTGGTTTCTTGTTGGAGGGCACAGAGACAGGACGCACCAGCTTCAGCTGAACTTTGATGAAGCCTGTGTAGGAGCCATCCTTGTTCTAAAGAGCAGAGAGAGAGGGGAAAAAAACCAAGCCATAAGAGTAGGTTCTAGATGAGATGGGATCGTCTTGGGTTTAGTCTACTTGGGGCTAAGCGGGTTATACATAAATGACTACTTGGGCCCATTTGAGAATACCTTTACTACAGCTCTTTGTGGATCAGGCATACAGCTAGGTTCCTGACTCTTCCCATACCCGCTTTTCTGAGCAATCAACTCACCAGGCTCATGAAGAGGTTGCTGTTTATCTGGCTATTGTACTCCTTGATCTTCTGCTCAATTTCAGCCTGAGAAAGTTCTGGTGTCTTCCACTCCGCTGGCTCATCCTAAACAACAGGCCAGAATGCATACAGGGCTTTTTTTTTTGGGGGGGTGGGGGGAAATCTGGTCATGGGGCCTGAACTCTGGGCCTGGGCGCTGTCCCTCAGCTCTTCAGCTCATGGCTAGCGCTCTACCACTTAGGCCACAGTGCCACTTCCATCTTTTTTCTTTTTGCTTATGTGGTGCTGAGGAATCGAACCCAGGGCCTCAGGCATGCAAGGCAAGTGCTCTACCACTGAGCCACCTTCCCAGCCCCGCATACAGGGCTCTTGAGAAACAGTTTCTGAAAAACAGTCTGTGACAGCCCTTAGAAATCAACTTATTTTGGTTCTGTCACTGAACCCATCCACCCTGAATCCATCACTGCTCCAGGTTGGGCATGCTATAAAGAGATGACAAAGGCAAGGACATTTAGCTTCCTTCTGCTGCCAGGAGCTGAGAAAATATGAGAGAGAGCCTCTTGAGGAGAGACCTTCGATCAAAGTAAAGTCACTTCTTGAGGACAGTGTTAAGCACCCGAGCCATATATAAGGCATATAAGGTCAAAGCCTCCTTCCCTCTGTACCATAAAAAATTAAGGCTGGGAAGGTGGCTCAGTGGTAGAGTGCTTGCCTCCCATGCATGAGGACCTGGGTTCGATTCCTCAGCACCACGCAAGCAGAAAAAGCTGGAAGTGGCACTGTGGCTCAAGTGGTAGAGTGCTAGCTTTGAGCTGAAGAGCTGAGGGACAGCGTCCAGGCCCAGAGTTCAAGCCCCCATGTTCCACAAAATAATAATAAATGAATAAAGGCAAAAAGAAAACAATAAAATAGTCATCTCAACTGCACAGCAAAATTGTAGCACCTCAGCTGGGCTGAAGTCACGGTTTGTCTGAGAGAAGGCAGTCCAATTTTTCCCTCTCCTCCAGGACCCTTTGGTGGGGTTTTGGAGCCAGTTCCCATGCTTGTCAGATACAGTGAGGAAATCATGGTGACATGTTATTTAACTTTGGCCAGAACTGCACAAAAGGCAGCTTCAGGCAAGGATCCAATCTGCCAGAGGCAAACAAGCAACTTCCTGGTAAAGTCTATCATTCCCTCCCCCCCACCCCCACCCCAACTGCTAAGCAAGAACGAGAGAAAGAGACAGAGAGACAGAGTTAGTTTCTGCCTTTTCCCTGTCTAAACATACAAAGTTGTTAGTTTGACCACTCAGCCCCCTCCTCCCCTTCCTATTCATCCACCGCTTCCTCCCCCTTCAGAGACTGCATTTTAGAAGTATGGAGGGTGGGAACTATCATTCTCCTAGTAAACTCACTTGGCTCCACAGCCTCAGCCTTATTTCCTGTTGACGTCAGACAGAGTTTGGTAGGAATGGGAGGGTCACGGATACAGCTGAGATCACCACTGAACAATGCCAGAAGGTCTTGGTCACAATGATTCTGGGCCCAGATAGCCTTAGAGACCCCTAACCTGTTTAAAGCGCTTATGAGGGCAAATGTGGAGGATGGATGAGACAGCAGACATTATGTCTTTACCCTGAGCCTACTGTTTAAGGACTAAGGCTTCACAGGAAAAAGGCTTTGGGGTAGAGGTGGGAATTGATGCCCATAGCCTATTTCTATGGTTTCCTGGATGGAAGAGAGCAATAGGGAATAAAAACTCCAGCAGAAACTATATTGGGGATGGTGGGCAACCCTGTTGGGTAAGAACTAATGGTCTGGGTTATACTGGACTGGGACTCACTGACCTCAGTTCCAGCTTCTTCCCTTCTCCAGGTAGCCCTGTTCAGTAGAAAACAAGGGGCCTGCCAAGTGCTGGTGGCTCATGCCTTTACTCTTGTGTCAGGAAGCTGAGATCTGAGGACCACAGTTCAAAGCCACTCAGGGGAAGGAAAGTCTGTGAGACTCTTATCTCCAATTAGCCACCAGAAGACTGAAAGCAGCACGGTGGCTCAAAGTGGTAGAGTTCTAGACTGAGCAAAAGAGCTTAGGGGACAGTGCCCAGGTCTTGAACTCATCAAGCCCCATGACGGACAAAAAGGAGGAGAAAGAAAACAAAGGCACTGCACCATCTTGCCAGGATCCTAGAGGAGGAAGCTGCTTTTTCCTGTTTCCCAAAGCTGTTTGTTGGGAGAGGATCCCAACGCCTCAGAGGGAGGGCCCTAGAACTTTCCTTCTTCTGTACTACAGCAACTCAGCTTCTCCCTCTCCCTTCTCCTCTCCCTCTCCCCAGTGACTGATGGCTTCACTTTAGTTCACTCCTGGACTCCAGTGCTGGGACTGAACTTAAGAGCCTCCTGTATGCTGGGCAAGCACTCTAGTGTCTTTCACTGTTTCCATTTTACTCATAAGAAAAAAAAAAAAAAAAAGACTCAGACTGAGGGGCATGGAGATCTCAGGATCCTGACCTGGCACCCAAAGCTCTGGTCTGAGATTTTAGGGTGCTGAGCAGGATTCCTTTCGTGAGGAATTTTTAATTTTCACCTCAAGCATCATCCAACCCCAATTTCTTGTCTCAAATAAAGAATTTTTTTTTTTTTTTGGTTGGTCGTGGGGCTTGAACTCTGGGCTTGGGCGCTGTCCCTCAGCTCTTCAGCTCAAGGCGAGGGCTCTACTGCTTGAGCCACTTCTGGTTTTCTAGTGGTTTATTGGAGATAAGAGTCTCATGGACATTCCTTGCCTGGACTGGCTTTGAACTGTGATCCTCAAATCTCAGCCTCCTGAGTAGCTAGGATTACAGGTGTGAGCCACTGGCGCCCGGCTTCAAATTAAGAATTCTATCCCACTACTGTCAGGTATACTAAATTTCATGGTCCCCATGATGTCCTCATCTGTCTTATTCCAACCCAAAAGTTTTCTGAGCCTACTGGCCACAGGTCTCTAATAAAGGGGACACCTAGGAAATTTCAGGAGGTTTAGCTGTCCTGGTACCACACTTTACAAACTTAATTTGGTAACTTGGGTCTCTTTCCACCCATCCTAGAGTGGCTGGATTACAATCTAGCATTCCTGTCTCCCATGGGTAATGACCCTGGTGCTTTACATTCAGAACAAAGCTCCCTTCCTAGCCATTCTCAAATCTACTTTCCCAAAGTCCACCCAAGACAGGGGATTTGAGTCCTCTACATTCCAACAACTGGTAAACAGATCAGGACCAGCAACACTAGAGACTCAGCTGTCCACCCAGAAGTGAATACGGATGGATGGGGTGGGGGTTGGGGGGGTGGCAAAGGTGACTCCCTCATCTTTCTTCTCCTACAACATATCCCCAACTTCCCAGCAAGGGCTCCTCCCCCACCTCCCCTTCCTCCACCACTTCCCTTAGGGAGCAAGCGGGAGTTCCCACCGGGTGGCTCCCGCTTGAAATCCTAGTTTCTGGGGAGATCTGAGGATGGCAGTTCAAAACCAGCCTGGGTGGAGAAGTCCCGCGAGACTCGTGATCGCCCGTGAACCATCCCCCCAAAAAAAGCCAGAAGTGGAGCTGCGGCTCGCGAGGCCCAGGGAACTCAGCGCCCAGACTCTACGAGTTCAAGCCCCAGGACCCACCGGGTGCCAGGGAGGGCTGCGCCGCCGGCTTTAGTCACAGGTGGCCAACGCCCCTCTCTGGCCTATCCCGAGCTGCGGCGTTGCTGGCCCCGGGTCCATTCGGGGGGGGGGGGGTTCTCTGCGAGGGGGGCCTCGGTGGATCGGGGCTCTACCGAGGGTCTGAGGGCTCTGCACGGCTCTCCCCGCGGCCGCACCGGCTCTCCGCGCCGCCACTGACCGGGGAGGGGGCGGGGCTCCGGCCGCCGCCCGCTCCCGCCGCCGGCGCCCCCCCCCCCCCCGCCCCGCGGCTCCCCACCTGGTCCCGGCGCGGCCTGCGGACCAGCGAGGTGCGCGCCGTGAAGTACTGCTCGAGCTCCGAGTCGGAGTCCTCCTGGCTGCAGTAGCCACTGCTGGTCGTGCTGCTCCAGGTCATCTCAAAAGAAGGCGTCTCGGCCTCACCCATGGCCACGCGCGCGCCTGCCCGCCCGTACGCTCAAGTCCGGCGCGTCCCAGACTCTCCCAACCAACGCCCCAGGCGCGTGCGTCCGGGCGTGCGTGCGTGCGTGCGTGCGGGCGAGCGTGCGTGTCTGCCAAGGCGCGCGTGCGCCGATGCCAGCGCAGCGCCGCAGCCGTTAAGATTGAAACGTAGACAACCGGGATCTGGACGCTACTCTCATTGGGCGGGTGGGCGGGGACCCAAGCGCTGCGTCTTACGCGATGACCTCATCGCTTAGGCAGCTCATCCTAGGCCCCGCCTCCCAAGCCCCACCTTTCCGGTGGAAACGTAAACGGAGCCTGTGCGCATGGGCAGGTGCCCCTCCCCACCACGCCCCTCCCTCCCCGACCCAGCCGCCGGCGGAGCGGAAGCGGATGCGGTCGGTGGGCGTTGTGGGCTGAGCTCCCGGCGTCCTGGCCTGCCGCTCAGCGCGTCCCCGCCCCGCCCGCACCCCGGACTCTCCTGCCCCGCTTCCCCGCGCTCACCACGTTCGTGTCTCGCTCCAACGCGGGGTCCCAGCCCAGGTCCCGAGGCCCGCAGCAGTCCAGGCAGACGAGCGCGCGACAGCGGTAGTGGCAGGTGAACTTGCAGTCTGCGGAGGAGCCCCCGACTCAGCTCGGGGGGGCGTCCCGCCCACCAGAGGCAAGCCCCGGGGTGCAAGCTCGTTACCGGCCGGGCTCTGGGAGCCTGTCCTTGGGTTGACTTCATTTCCCCCCCCCCCGCCCCCACCCCCTTTTCGGGGTGCATGTGTGGAAACTGGCTGGAAAGCCTTCGGTGATCAGAGATTCAAGTCTGCTGGATTCTTGGTCTAGCGTCTCGGGCAGAAGTTTTCCTCTTCCCACCCATTTATTTGGAGAAAACAAAAAACCTTCAACCTACGGCGCCCTCCAGGAGATGTCTCCTCAAACACTGGTTTACATACATCCGCCTGATTTTTTTTTTGTCTTCATACCTCTGTCCACTTCCTCTATCTGTCCCTGCCTCCAGGAAACTGCCCTACTTAGGACAGACTATCGTCAGTGGTCCATTCTTCATTGTCCCCTGGTTGTCGACATCATTTGATGCTCAGGGGACCACACTCTTTCTCCAGATTTCCTCCCACTCCCTGTGACTCCTGCTGCTCAACTCCTTTGCTGGTTTTGTCTCAACTTCTAGATCTAATGTGTTGATATTCACGGCTCACCTGATGGCTGTCCCGGCTCTGTTTACACGGTGAGCCTTGGATGCAGATCCAAATCCGCCTACCCATCTTAGATCAAATCCTATAGTGCAGACTTGGATGTCTTAACATATTTCAAGTGAACGTGATCCAAAATAGAACCCACTTTTCTTCCACCTCAATCCTGCCCTGACCAGGGTTCCTCATCTCAGCATAAGTTGCCACTATTACTCAGTTGTTTGAGGCAAAACCCCAAACTCATTCTTGATTCTTTGTCTTAATTTTTTTTGGAAGTTCTAGTCTGAGGCTTGTGAACTCTGAACCGAACTCTGCCTCAGCTTTTTCCATCCACCCCTTAAACCACACCTTCAGTTTCTCCCTTGTCTTTACATCTTTGTTGGATACCTAAACTATCCTGTGTGTCATTTCCATAGCTACTTCATTTTTTCTTGAGAACATTGCAGTGTCCTGGCCTTTGTTCATGTTTTGTATCGTCCCAAGTTCCTGTGCTTCACCAGCTGAATTTGTGACATGAATTTGTGACATGTTCCTCCCTGGATGAGCAGCTTGCCAGGCATACACAGGCCAAAGGCACCACCCCTAAATTCCTATATAGGCCAAAGCACTTGATTCTCAAACCAGACTGCCCATTAGAATGGGCTGGAGAGGTTTTTGTTTTTTAATTACTGATGCCTGTGGCCCACTTCCAGCAATTGACTCAACAGGCCTGAGATAGGCTCATGAGATAGAAGGTGAGCATAATGGGGTTTGGAGGATTATAAAAGTGCCCTGGTGATTCTAGCTGGTGTACATTCAGCAAATTTCTGCTTGCTGTGATTCCCAGTGTGACTGTGTTCCATGTTTTAGCACCTGGTTCACTAGGGCCCAATATAGGAACCTACTAAATACTCAACAAAATTCCTGTTTGCAGGAAACCCACCCTAGGTTATTTTTTACAAGGCTCTTGTCCATAGATGGATAACTTCTTCACCCCAGGAATTCTGGAGGGAACCTAGGAGTGGAATTATTGGGAAGAGGCTCAGAGGACAGAGAACACCAAGGCTTCCTACGGAAGGGCCAAGGCACTTTAAAGATAAACTTGGAACCAGAACCTAGTGACAAGCACCCTCCCATACCCCCTTCTGGGACAGGACAAGGTGAGGGATCTGATCTGCTGGACAGCACGGTCCCTGCCAACCCTCTGGGCCTCGACTGCCCTTTGACAGTCCCTTCCGCTCTTGTCCTGCAGGGGACAGCTACTCACAGGCGCACTGCAGACCCTTGCGCACGACGCCCCAGATGAAGTCTCCGCAGAGGTCGCACCACGTGTGCGTGGCGGGCCCTGCAGGCTGGAACCGGTGGCCGCGACCCGGGACCTGTTTCCGTGCGAGGTTGCGCGCGGGGCTGGGCGCGATGCGCAGCGCGTTGGCACGCTCCAGCCGGGCGCGGCCCGGGCCAGGGCGCCCAGCAGGTGTCAGCTCCCGCAGCTCAATGAGCTCTGGCTCCGTGGACATGGCCTGGTGGAGCTGGGTCTTCCGCGGACTTGGCCTGAGTGTAGGGCGGGCGGGGCCGCGGGGCGGGCCGAGGGCTGGGCGCCGCCCCCAAGAGCGAAGACGGACGGGGCCGCGGGGCGGGCCGAGGGCTGGGCACCGCCCCCAAGATTGAAGACAGGGGCGGGGCCGCGGGGCTGGGCGGGGCCGCGGGGCGGGCCGAGGGCTGGGCGGGGCCGCGGGGCGGGCCGAGGGCTGGGCGGGGCCGAGGGCTGGGCGGGGCCGCGGGGCGGGCCGAGGGCGGGCCGAGGGCGGGGCGGGCCGAGGGCTGGGCGGGGCCGCGGGGCGGGCCGAGGGCTGGGCGGGGCCGCGGGGCGGGCCGAGGGCTGGGCGGGGCCAATGGCTGGGCGGGCCGAGGGCGGGGCGGGCCGGGGGCGGGCCGAGGGCGGGGCGCAGCCCCCAAGAGCGAAGACAGGGGCGGGGCCGCGCGCCGAGGGGAGCCTCAGCCCGCAGTGCTGGCTCTCAGGCGGGGCTGGGCAGGGCCGGCCGGGGCCGGGGCCGGGGCCGGGGCCGTTCTTGCCGAGCCCCTTCCCTCCCTCCTTTCCATCATCCCTTCCCCCACCATTGCAGTGTGGAGGACGCACCGCGTCGCACGGAGACAGGCATGTTCAGGGGGTTACTTTTACTGTACGAGGGAAAGAGGGTCACCACATCCTGCCCCGGTCTCCCCCACCCACCAGGCTTCGCCCCCCCAGGTTTACCAAGGCTTGTGACCTCACCTCCACACCTAGTTAACGGGTGGGGCTGGAAGAGGGACGCCTCACTGGGGAAGTGGGGAGAGGGGTCAGCAGCTCGATTGGCCTGGGTGGGGGGAGAGGTTGGAGCGGGGGTCTGGCAGGCACCAGAGATTCTGAGATTCAGGGGCGCCTTATGGGGTGGGTCGCCTTGGTTGGCTCTGGGTGGCTGCAGACTTCACTTGGCTCTCTCACCCTGGGCAGCCAGGACACAGGCCTTTTTATGCTTCTCCCAGTGCTTGACTTGGCACTCCCTGCAGGCAAAAAGTGGTCCCAAAGTGAGGTCCTGGGGGTGTGAGGATGGCAGTGCTGGTGGGGGGTCTGGGGCATGGGATCTTGGGGGTACCCTCACCTGCAGCAGTACCACTCATTCTGGCATCTTGAGCAGCGCTTCGAGGCCTCTGAATTGCAGGAGGCGCAGCGAGGCCTTTCCGGAGCCACTGCCTCTAGCAAGTCTAGCCTGTAGGTCTCCGCCCACCTGGGGGGGGGGGCGGTTAGGAGGGCCTGATTGGGCCAAGCAGGTAGGGCATGGAAGCACGCTTGCCCACATCCATCTCCCCTCTCTCCTGATAAACGCATCAGGCCTTGCCTTCGTGCCTGCAGCCGGAGGTCCTGCTCAGAGGGGCTGAACACATGCTGAAGCTGGTGCTTGGCAATGGCCTGCCATTTGCCTCTGTTCTCTCGTTCCAGTCGTTCCCAGATTTCTGGGATCTATGGAAGAGTCATTGAGAAGGCAAGGAAGGAGCTAGCAAAGGGGACAGTGGACCTGGCATGAGTCCTTTTCCAGGGGCCTACCTGTTCCAACACCAGGTCCTTCTTAGGGGTCTGGGTTTCTGCCAATGCCAGGTGGGCCAGGAAATCCTTGAGGTCTGCCAGGTTGGGCAACTGGTCAAGTAGTGTGTCCGTGAGGAAGGCCTGAAGCTGTAAGGATGGGTGGGGAAGAGCAGTGTGAACTAGGTGCTGGCCAGAGGTGCCAAGGACCAGGGAGGGTTTGGGGTGGGCTTTATGTTTGGGGCTTACGCTGCACGAGCTTCTGTCATGTGAAGCCTCTGGAAAGAGGAGGGGGTAGAGGTGAGTGGGCAGAGATGAACCAGCAGGGATGTAGTGGGGGAGGTTTGGGGCTATGTGGATGGGTAGGAAAGACTCCCCACCTTAAGCAGCTGTCCCTTAGCGAAGCTAGTGAAGGAATAGCGGGCCCGGGCCTCAGGGCTTAGCAGCAGGTTATACAGAGCGATCCACACTTGCCCATCCAGCTTGCTCAACTTTTGCTGCTCTGAGGGAACCACTGTCTGCCAACGGCCACTCTCAAATCGTTGCAGCTTGCCTGGGGGGCGGGGTTGTTGGGTGGAAGAATTTCCTTCTCTTTTTTTTTTTTGTTGTTGGTTGTGGGGCTTGAACTCTGGGCCTGGGCGCTGTCCCTCAACTCTTCAGCTCAAGGCAAGCACTCTACCACTTGAGCCACAGCACCATTTTCGGTTTTCTGGTGGCTCATTGGAGATAAGAGGCTCCTGGCCTTTCCTGCCCGGGCTGGCTTTGAACTGCAATCCTCAGATCTCAGCCTCCTGATTAGCTAGGATTACAAGAGTGAGCCACCAGCGCCCATAGGGGGTCCTAGAAACAGGGTTAGGGGTTTGGGCAGGCTGGGGAAGGACCTTACCTCCTTCCTGCCGGGTCCAGGGACTGTGTTGTAGCAGTTCCACCAGGAGGCAGGGCAGATTGTGAGTGCTGAGCATGCGGTTCAAGGCGTTCAAGGAAAGGCTAGGGGGTCAGGGGTGAGGAGGAAAGAGTGAGAGGAGATTCCAGGCGGAGTCTTGCAGCCTTCCATTCTAGGCCACAAGCCCTGGAGGGCTGCCCACCTGTCCACACAGTCTGTGATATAGCGCAGCACTGAGAGGGCTTTCAGGGAAATCTCAAATTCCATCAGCTCTGCCTGTTTCTGCAGTTCCTGAAGGTGGGAGGGGGCAGTGCTCAACCTGAACCATCCCCTGGCTGCACAGCGCCAGAGAAACCCATCTGTAGGCTTTGCCAAATGTCAGGAAAGCTCAGCCCACCTGCATCGGGGTAATATCCTGGGATTCCTCTTCTTCAGAGGGGGTGCTACCATGGCTAGTCCGGGCCACTAGCAGTGTCAGTTTGCGGTGGCAGTAGTCCACCAGGTCCAACACAGTGTCCTCTGCTGACTCACACACCTCCTGGGGGGGTCCAGCAGGGAACACTTAACTGATGCTCTCACCACCCAGACATACTCTGCCAGGCCCTGGTCTGGCACAGTGCCCTCCCCTCCCCGGGAGCCACGATTTTGCCTTACCTTGTAGAAGAACACTGTCTCTAGGAGGTTAATGATAGAGGCCTCATGGTGTATCTATCAAGGAGAAGGACAAGGCCTGGGCTGCATGGAGAGTTAGGGACTATCACCTGTCTCTCTCAGTGCAGGGAGCTCTGAAGGGATGTAAGCCAGAGCCCTAGCTCACCACGATGTATATAGGGAACGTGTTCTGGGGCTTGAAGTCCTCCAGCTTGCACAGCACAGGGAACACCTTCTGCTTCCACATCTCCACTGCAATCAGTTCTTCCACCAATGTAGGGATCTTTGAAGAGTAGGGGAAGGGACTAAGATAAGGTTAAGGTGGAGCTACCTTAGCCTGACAACTCTCTCATCTCTGATAAGGACCAGATTAGCTAATTACCCTGTACCCGTAGATTTTTGTTGTTGGTGGTGGTAGTGGTCGTGGGGGCTGAACTCTGGGCCTGGGGGCTGTCCCTCAGCTCTTCAGCTCAAGGAGAGCGCTCTACCACTTCTGGTTTTTCTGCTTCTGTGGTGCTGTGGAATCGAACCCAGGGCATCATGCATGCAAGGCAAGCACTCTACCACTGAGCCACCTTCCCACCCTTGTACCTGTATTTTTATTCCTTCCTCTTCCATCTAATCATCCCTTTAAGGCTAACTCTCCTGCTCATGTCCTTCCTTGTATGTCCTGTCCTGTCTTTGTATGCCTTGGCCTTACTCTTACTCAGGGCCCTTTACAGTGCCCAATTCCTACTCCATTCCTTAGCAGTAGCTCTGCTTTTTTCTTGCACAGGGACCCAACTGTCAAATGATATCTCATGTGATGCACCAGTTCCAGCCCTTAGCCAATCCCACTGCCAGGATTTTCTCTGGTTTCTAACATTTCCTGCCTCCCCACCTCTGTTGGAAATACTGCATCCTTCTGTGCACGTGCAAAGTTCCTCTCCACTTTGGTGAGAGCCTTGCAGTCACTTCACTGTGACTTTAGCTCTTCGGTGTTTCCTTGAGTCTATTCTAAGAACCATGGTCTTCCTGATCAACTCACTCCCAGCCACAGGCCTGGCATGTCTGGATCCAGGTCAGTATGAGTACAAACAGAAATGTAGCAAAGGTGGGCTGGGAAGGTGGCTCAGTGGTGGAGTGCTTGCCTTGCATGCATGAGGCCCTGGGTTCAATTCCTCAGCACCACGTAAGCAGAAAAACCCAGAGGTAGTGCTGTGGCTCAAGTGGTAGAGCACTAGCCTTGAGCTGAAGAGCTGAGGGACAGTGCCCAGGCCCAGAGTTCAGGCCCCACAACCGACCAAAATAAATAAAAATAAAAAAAAAAAGAAATGTAGCAAAGGTATGCTGATAGATGCCTGATTCCCCCTGTTCCCATGCTGGAATTACAGACATCCATCAGCATACAGGATCTTGCTATGTTGGCCATTCTGGGCTATATAGCAAGACCTTTTGGCAAAATGAAAGAAAAGATAAAAGGGAAGGGATACAAGTGTGGTGGCTCATGCTTGTAATTCCTGTTGCTGAGGAGATGGAGATCAGAGAATCGAGGCCAGCCACAGCCCAAAGTGGGTGAGATCCCATCCAGCCAGAAGCTGGGTGTGGAGGTTTCTCTCTGCAATCCCAGCTATTTGGGAGGCCTGGCTAGGGACAATAGAGAGGTCTGAGCAAAACACCCACAGTCCTACCTAAAACATAATTAAAGCAAGCAAGGAGGGCTGGAGATGGGGCTCCAGTGGTAGAGCACTTACAAGGCCCAGAGTTTAAACTCCAGGTACTATCAGAAAAAAAAAAAAAGAAAGAAAAGAAAAGGTAACACATTCCTCTTTCCCTTCCGGGAAGAGCAGGTGTCCAGTTCTCCCAAGGTGCAGAATAAGCAAAGGTGTGAACCTGATCTTGGCCTACCTTCCCGTGAGTGGCCAGCAGCTCCTGGATGGGCTCTCCCTGGCTGACCGTGGCATCGAGGATGGCTTGCATGTTCAGCTTCTCCAGGTGCTCATGTTGCCGGCTCCACCTGTCCCAGAGTGTGTGTGTGTGTGTGTGTGTGTGTGTGTGTGTGTGCATCTGGGTGCAGAAAAGTGCTGGAGGGGTGACTGGGGGCTGGGTGGGTATGGAAGCCTGGCCTAATCTTGAAGAGCCAGAGACGGTCAGGAGCTGGTGTCTCCTACCTGGGGGGGGGGGGGGTGGCTTCCACCCTGAGCAGCCCCTTCTCCCAGCTCCCCAACTCAACCCTCCCGGGTGACAGCCCCTCCCGTCCCAGCTGCCTCACCCTTCAGAGCCCATCTCGAGTAGCTGGAAGCTGCGCAGACCCCGAATCAGAACATCAGCCTCCCCGGGCAGGAGCAGCTCCCAGTCGCCCATGTTGGGGAGGGTTGGATCGGGGTCGCAGACAACGTCTGGCAGCGGACGGGTTTGGATGACCGATCCCCGTGGGGCCCTTCGGTGTGGAACGCGGACAGTTGCCCGGCGGTTTGAGCGCGTGGGTTCTCAGCGCCATGGAAACCTGTTGGGCTTCTGCAGTGCGCGCGCCCCGCCCCCTCGCCGCGCCCCGCCCCCGCAGGCTGGCCCCGCCCCCGCAGGCTGGCCCCGCCCCCGCAGGCCGGCCCCGCCCCTCGGCTGCCCGCACAGGTCTCAGACCCCAGAGCTGCAGTCTGGGGCCTAGATTCCCTCCCTGGTCACAAGATCGCGTCCCCCTGAGCAGATTAAATGCAAGCCCCTCCGGGATGATCCCTCCTCGTGGTTTCCCTCTTGAACCACACCTTCATTTCCAGCTTTTTTGGTGGTTAATTGGAGACCAAAGTCTCACAAGACTTTCCTTGCTTTTGTCTGGCTTGGAACTGTGGTCCTCAGATCTCAGCCTCCGGAGTCCTAACTAGGGTTACAGGTGTGAGCCACCAGCACCTGACCTTTCTCTTACCTCTCCTGTTCTAGCCCCTAGTTGGAGATAGTTTCCTGGGCTTTTCTGCCTGGCTTGGCCTCCAACCATAATCCTCTAAATCTCTTCCTGAGTAGTTTGGATAGGCATGAGCCACTGGCAACCCGCTAACAATATCTTGTTGTTGTTGTTGGTCGGTCGTGGGGCTTGAACTCTAGGCTTAGGTGCTGTCCCTCAGCTCTTCAGCTCAAGGCAAATGCTCTACCACTTGAGCCACAGCACCATTTCTGGTTTTCTGGTGGTTTATTGGAGATAAGAGTCTTACTGACTTTCTTGCCTGGCCAGCTTTGATCCGCAATCCTCAGATCTCAGCCTCCTGAGGAGCTAGGATGACAGGCGTGAGCCACTGGTGCCTGGCAGGTTTTTTTTTTTTTTTTTTGGGGTCCGGTCGTGGGGCCTGAACTCTCGGCCTGGGCGCTGTCCCTCAGCTCTTCAGCTCAAGGCTAGCGCTCTACCACTTGAGCCACAGTGCCACTTCTGGCTTTTTTCATTTTGCTTATGTGGTGCTGAGGAATCGAACCCAGGGCCTCAGGCATGCAAGGCAAGCACTCTACCACTGAGCCAACTTCCCAGCCCACCTTGCAGGTTTTTAACAACATCTTTCTTGCTTTAATCCAAAATAATCCTTGCTTCCATCCCAACTCAATTTTTCATCCCGTTTCTTTTCTGATAGTGCCTGTTGTCAGTTTTGGCCACCAGATGGCGCGTCAACATGCCAGGAACATGACTGACTGTTAGGTAAAACTGGCTGAGGCAGTACTCAAGAAAAGTACATTGAAATGAATGATTTTATTTATAGAACTGAGGGTCAACCTCCACACAGTATGGATTAGCCTACTTGTCTAGCTCCCATGCACCAGGCAGGGCTTAGCAGAAGGGAGTTGCCACAGGAAAATATATCCCAGCCAGTCTGTCTCATTTCCAGCAGATGATGATGTTAGGGTCATTTTCCAGCCGTTCATCCAGCTCATGGTAGCTCATGCCTGGGGTGGGGTGGAGGAAGTGAAATCAGTGGCCTTGATCTGGCTGCCCTGCCCTGATTTCACCTGGGCTGCTTTGTCTGCCTTCACCTGTCTTGCAGCAGATCTCATCATAGCTGTGGCAGCCTGTGTAAAGACGGGCAGGGTGGCTTCGCTCCTCCCGAGACACCCGGACTGGATACTTCTGTAATCGTCGGATGAGGTTCTTCATAAGCCCAAACTGGATCAGCTTCCTGGAGTAAGGGTTAGGAAAGAGGGGTGATACCCTGACCCGGCCTCCTTCTGACCAGGCCAACCATTTACCACGATCTTCCCTTCAGTTCTGTCTCAGTGACCAGATTAGCCCCTAAGTGTATCATCTCCAGAAAACCTATCTGTGCACCAGCCATGCCAGAGGCTCTGTTCACTGGAATTCCCTGTTGCTCGTCTGTCCTCAGGCAACCCTCATGCCCAGGAATGCCCCTCTGACCGTTCATCAACGTGCTGTAGCTGCTGGGGGTGGCGGCCAATGAGGTCTCGCACAGTGGTTCCAGGGCTCAGACTGCAGTACAGCTGGAATACATCCCGGAGACTGGCTCTTTTGTGTCCTGTAGATACCAAGTGTCAGCTTGCCGGGTGGCCCTGCTTCCTCATCAAGTTGGTCTCCCCCAAAGAGCTTGCCACTACCTTGTTTGGTCACGTAGGATAGACATGCCTCCTGCAAGGACTTGTCATCTACCAGATCCTGGACCTTGGGTGTCGGGCAGTATACATTAGAGTACTAGAGAGTGGAAGACACAGGGATCTGAGTTAAGGGATTGTGAGGCCAACCTGGATTGGCCCAGCTGTATGATCCTACACTTAACTGTACCTGACTCACCTACCTGGAGGATGGACACCAGTGTTACAACACCATAATACCTAGGGGAGAGAGCTGTACTTAATTTCCAAGGGTCAGGCCTTCCCAGCCCCATACTCAGAGTCCCTGGGCTGAGTCCTACAGCCCTACTCACAGCAGGTTCTGGATGGCGATGCGCACTAGATTGAGCTCCACATCTGCCTCAGCAGAGATTTTCTGGACGTGGCGGAAACCATCAATGTAGGGCAGGATCTAGACAGAGCATGGTAGTGTCAATAGGGGTAGGATGAGGCCAAGGTTAATGAAACCCAGAGATTGATGCCATACGTACCTGTTGTGTGGTGAGGTCCCACTGTGAGTTGAAGAAATCCTCCTTGTCCTTAGTGAAGACAGGCACATCATACTCTTGGGCTACGGGAGGATCAGGCCGCTGCTCTATCACCTTCAAGTGGATGGTGTTGGATTCATCTGCAGTGGAGCCACCCATATCCTCAGTGTCATTTTTCCCAAGAGACTATCGATAACATCCAGAACTCCCAGCAGTCCTTGAGACAGGCAGATGCCTCACTCCATTTTTTTTTTTTTTTTTGTCGGTCGTGGGGCTTGAACTCTGGGCCTGGGCGCTGTCCCTCAGCTCTTCAGCTCAAGGTGAGCGCTCTACCACTTGAGCTACAGCGCCACTTCCGGTTTTCTGGTGGTTTATTGGAGATAGGAGTCTCACGGGTCTCTCCTGCCTGGGCTGGCTTTGAACTGCGATCCTCAGATCTCAGCCTCCTGAGTAGCTAGGATTACAGGCGTAAGCCACCAGCGCCCGGCTTCCTCACTCCATTTTTATGGAGTGAGAATCCAAAGTCCAGAGAGGGGAAAGAATATACACAAGAGGCTTTCCCACTCACAACCACCATACACAGAACCCTCAACATCATCACCTCTATCTATCAGGTTATCTCCTGGCCATCAGTTTATTCAAGGGTTTTGGCTGCAATCATCTTTTCCTGTCACCCCCCTCCCCCTCCAATTAATCTGCTGCCTTTGAAAAGGCTGGGACATACCGATGGGCAGGGTGCACCGGCCAGAGGCATTAAGCTCCTCCAGTAAGATGGTCATGATGGGCACCAACTTCTGCTTGCTTTCCTCCGTGGATACAAAGCTGCTCTCTAGCTGGATAGAACATGAACAGTATGGTGGGTAAAACTCAGGGTTCCTGGTTGCCCTGACTGTGTCCTTAAGCTGCTTGTCAGGGTTAGTGGGGCTTTGGAGACACGGGAACACTTACTACAAGTCTACCTGCCCATACACCCAAGCCCATCTCATTGCAAACCTCCAGTGTTGTCAGGTAGCCAGCCAGCTTTTTAACAATGGGCTCGAGGGCACAGGTCTTAGCCTGGGCATCACACACAAAGCCTAGGTTGAAGAGGAGGGCATTTCGGCTATACTTCTTGTGTTCAATGCACACGGGGCAGCCAATCAGCTTCTTTTCCATAGCTGTGCTAGAGAGTTAGAACAGAGTCAGCCTTGCCCTCAAGCCTAGCCCCTCCTCCTTCTGAGACCCCCTTCACCCACAACCAACTAGGGCCTCACACAGTGATGAGCTTGTTCTGGAGCTCTGGCTTGGTGATGATGTATACTTGGACGGTGTCAAACAGCTCCCGGGAGATGAAGTCCTCAGGGACCTGGGAAGGAAAGTGGCAAGAGGTCCTTCAGTGGACGTTGGGAGCTAGGTGGAGTATATTGGGTTGTATTCCCCATCTTAGGCTCTTTCCCTAGCCTGCTAATTCCTTTGTGTTTTCCAAACACAAGCTCTGTTTTCATTGGCTTATCTTCCTATGCATCATTTAAGTTACACGCCAGGGATTCTCACCGGCCCCCTCACTGTACTTTGAGACCTGCCACCCACCCCCTTGAATCCCATAGCCCCAATTTCCTACAATGCTATGATGTCATGTCTCCCTCCCCACAGCCGAAGCCGGTGACCTGGGCCCCAGGCATCCTATCCGATCACAATTATCCCCTAATGAGTGACATGCTTGCAGGCAGAACTGGGAATCCCACTGCGTATGGTCAGCCAGCTGAACTTCAGAGCTTCCTTCACCCTGCCCGATGCCAAGAGCCCCAGAGGCACCTGATAGGTGATCTTGGGTCCCAGTGTGGGATGGAACTCGCTGAAGAATATGCATTCGATGCGACAGCTACTGCCCATGGCGCCAGCCGGTCCCGACTCTGCAGCCCCTTTTCCCTTGCGCGGAGGCAACCTCACGCCTGGAAAACTTGTCAGCGAGCACCGGGGCCTAGGTCACGCAGGCTGGCTGGCGGCGCGCGTACCCTCGACAGTGAAGCCGTCTGCTGAACCGCGCACGCGCAGTGCCACGCAGAGGCGTGGCTGGTGGGCGCGTAGGGCGGGGCGCTTGTCTCAGGAAGTCCCGGTGGGTAGACGTAGCGCCCGGAAGTGAAGTGCTTCCGCGACAAAGCGACGGCGCGCGCGCGCGCGCCACAGCGGCCGGCGTACCCAGCTTGATTTGGAGGAAACCACTGCATTAGATTGTAAGCTGCAGGTGAGACAAGCAGATCCCTTCGCTGGAAGGGGAGCATGTTGGCGGCACGTGGGGAGACAGCGAGTGAAGGGATCCGTGCTTAACTTGGGGAACTACAATTCCTGTAGTGCTCCACGCCTGCCCAGCCGGCGTTCTGGGCAAGCGACGGCGCGGTGCACTATGGGAATTGTAGTTTTCTAGCTGAAAGGTGGTCTGGAGCTCAATACCAGCTCAGGAACAGGTAGATGCTGGTAGGTAGATGCTGACAGGCTGCTGGTGGTCTGCTGGCAAGTTATGGTGACTATTCTTCGTGCCAGTCCTAACTTCGTGGAAGAGGGTGGCATTTCTGAGTAGCAACCCTTTCTCCAGTGAGAGGTGTGGACAGTGAATCCATGACTCTTTCCAACGCTGGTATGTTTCAGGATACAGCTATCGGCTGGGCTGATCATGGCCCTTTCTGTGGAGACTGAGTCGCGTATCTACCGAGCTCTGCGCACTGCCTCTGGGGCTGCTGCCCACCTTGTGGCTCTGGGCTTTACTATCTTTGTGGCTGTGCTTGCCAGGCCTGGCTCCAGTAAGTAGAATTTAGTTGAATTCTGGGAAGGGTAAGGTAGTTTTTGAGGTGGTGGCGGTAGGAGCTTAGGCTTGACTCTTGTTATCAGGCCTGCAGACAGAGGAATATTCTATACTAGTGGGATGGAGCAGGTGGAGTTGGCGACTCTGCCCTCTTGACCTGGCCTCTATCCTCGCCTTAGTGCTTTATTTGGCTGCATCTCAGGAGGTTGTGGAGGAAAGAGGAAACTGCCAGAGAAGTAGCAAAGTATGGTCTCTAGTCCAGGATGAACAGCTGGGGTGGGGTCAGCTCATTGTAGAAGAGGGCACTTACACGTGGCCAACACCTCCATAAGTGGTGGGCCCATATGTATTAGGATTGGTAATGGTTAGTGTCTTCTTGCCTCCACCCAAGGTCTTCCTTTTCTCATTCCAGGCCTGTTCTCCTGGCACCCTGTGCTTATGTCACTGGCTGTAAGTAGTGGGTTTAGATAGGTCTTATGGGTGGGAGCATGGGCATGGGTGGTGGCCCTGGTGGCCTCTGAATCTTTGTGGATATTAAGTATCGGTTTAGAGGAGATGCAAGCCCCAACTGCTTCTGCTCCCTGGCCTGAACCAAAGTATTCAAGGAGCAGGACAAATGGGTGAAGCATGTATAAGCATAAAATGAAGGGAGAAACTCCCACCCTGAGACATTACCTTTGGAGGCTCCTTTGTCTCCTTTTAACCTTAATTTGTGACGATGCATCTCACTTTCTCTGAAATGGTGCACCCATGGAGCCAGCTCCGGCCAAGAAACAGTATCCAGCCTCATGGGAGGGAAACAAAGCCTGTGAATCATTTATTGTAGCCATATCTCAAGCCTTGTTTGCTGGTTAATGTAGCAGAGATGACATTTCAGAACAGCACCTGGGAAGAAGTAGGGAGAGGCAACTCTCACAAGCTCTTTAGAGCAGGAATTGTCCTAGATAGGGTTCTGTACTCTTGCCCCAACGGATAGTCTCGTCAGTGGGGAGAGAAGGAAGGGGAGTCATGAAGGTTAGCTAAAGCTCTCTTCCTCTTTGCTGGGACAGTAGCCTCACTTGTTTCCCATCCTTTCTCCTCAGTTTTCCTTCCTGATGACCGAGGCCCTGCTGGTGTTCTCTCCTGAGAGTTCGTTGCTGCATTCCCTCTCACGGAAGGGCCGAGCACGCTGCCACTGGGCGCTGCAGCTGCTGGCTCTGCTGTGTGCACTGTTGGGCCTAGGTCTTGTTATCCTCCACAAAGAGCAGCTTGGCAAAGCCCACCTGGCTACGCGGCATGGGCAGGCAGGGCTGCTAGCTGTGCTGTGGGCCGGACTGCAGTGCTCGGGTGGGGTGGGACTGTTGTACCCCAAGCTACTGCCTCGATGGCCTCTGGCAAAGCTCAAGCTCTATCACGCTACTTCCGGGCTAGTGGGATACCTCCTGGGTAGTGCCAGCCTCCTGTTGGGCATGTGTTCACTCTGGTTCACTGCCGCTGTCACTGGTGGGGCCTGGTACTTGGCTGTGTTATGCCCCATCCTCACCAGCTTGGTCATTATGAACCAGGTGAGTAACGCCTACTTATACCGTAAGAGGATCCAACCATGAACTCTTCCTAGCCAAGAGGAAGCCTAGATTTGCAACTGTGCAGGAGTTGGGACTGGGCGCCTCCTGGACTCTCCTGATTGGGTCTGGGCAAGTTCAGGTACTGGGGCAGTCAGGGTAGGAGATCTGTGTGAAATACTTGCTCCTCATATTAGACTCGCCTCCCTTTGCCTTCTCTCACCGCCACCCCCCTCCCCAGAGGAGCATGAATCATGTGTGTGGATGAAATTGGGGTTGCAGCACTGTCTCCCCAACAATGCAGCTCATTCTTTTACTGGTATGTCCAGAAATTATGGAGAGAAAGAATTAATAAAAAAAAAACTGAGTTGAAGATGGTTCTTGCTAAAGCCATCAACAGGAGAAAACGGGCCACTGGGCCAGGTGGCGACTCTTTTTCTTTTTTTTCTCCCATCATGGGGCTTGAACTCTGGGCCTGGGCGCTGTCCCTCAGCTCTTCAGCTCAAGGCGAGCGCTCTACCACTTGCGCCACAGCGCCACTTCCGGCTTTTTCTGCTTCTGTGGTGCTGAGGAATTGAACCCAGGGCCTCATGCATGCAAGGCAAGCACTCTACCATTGAGCCACCTTCCCAGCCCTGGGGGACTCCTTGAATGGTGGAATTCTCCCAGCATACAGGTCTCCAGGGTCTGCCTGCTGAGCCTCCCCTGGCACTAAAGGCTTTACCAAGGCCCACAGCAGTAGTACAGCAGTATGTCCTTTCCACTATCTTCCAGGTATAGATGGTCTGTATTGGAGTCTCCAGACTTCAGTTAGACAACAAGAGGATGGGAGCTGGGGAAGAGCTCTATCTCTGTGTCAAGCATGAAGCACTCTTAAGAGGTGAAACATGAGCCAGCATTTATGATTTGTCTGATTCTGAGGATGGAGCGGAGGGCCATCTAGGGAATAGCTCTGGGAAGGCTGCTTGGCAGTGGGCATGTGGTGATGGAGGGAAGGAGAGTAAGGGCAAGGAACTTCCTATTACAGGTGGAAGTAGTTATGGAGTTTGAGCTCTTGGACCCAGTAAAGACTACCTTTTCAACAGAGCCGATAAGGAGGCTGCAGCTGGAGCCGGTGGCTCACGCCTGTCATCCTAGCTACTCAGGAGGCTGAGATCTGAGATTGTGATTCAAAGCCAGCCACAGCAGGAAAGTCCATTAAGACTCTTCTCTTCAGTTAATCAACAGAAAACCAGAAGTGGTGCTCTGACTCAAAGTGGCAGAGTGCTGGCCTTGAGCAAATAGAGCTCGGGAACAGCACCCTGAGTTTCAAGCCCCACTGCTGGCAAAAAAAGAGGCTGAACGAGCTGGTCTGACAAAGCCCAGGAGTCATACCTCAAAGAACTGCTTTATTGATATTATGAGGCCGGGCAGAGCTGCCCACTCAAGTGGTCCTGTAGAAAATACCCGGAGGCTGTGGTTGTCCTGGCCTGGAATCAGTCACTGCCACAGCAGAGGGAAACAAGAAATCCTGACATGAACAGTCTTTCTGGGGGTGGGCAGGGATGTCTAGCCCTGCGCTGTCTCCTGCACTGGCGGGGCCCTCAGAACATTTTTTGGCAAATGCAGATCCTTGCCTTGGCTCAGGGCTCTTGGCAACCAGTTTCAGATACGAGGACCAGCTCAGGAGCTGTGGCACCAGTGTCCCTGCAGCCATTTACTTGGGGCTTCCTGCTGAGGTACAATCTTACCTCATGTTGGGGCCTGGACTGGCTGATGCCTCAGAGGTCTCAGGCCTGGCATAGTGGTTGTCTGGAGTTGGAACCAGGAAGCATGGGTCCTGGGTAGTGTTGGCGAGACACACGGGAGAAGGCTGTGGAAGCCCCCGGCAGGCCTTCCTCCCTCGCAGAGCAGTCAGAGCCCTGGAGTAGCTGAGAGGCATCAAGGGATTTGGGAGCGGAGGTCTTATACCCAAGGTGATCTGGAGTTACAGCTTTGGGGGAGCTGCCTCGAAGGTGATGAGACTGGATTCGGGGGCAGTCCCCTTCCCTGGGGGTGTGGAAGCTTTTTCTGAGGGCAGTGGGCTTTCTACTTTGGCCCCAGAATCCTCTTCATCGTCATCCATACTGGGCCAGAGAGACTGGTCTTCCACTCTCTTCAGCCGCTCATTGAGAGCCTTCAGAGCCAGCTGCCTGCGGTGAGAGATGACAGGTCACTCTGGGTCTGGGCTTGGCTCATTTCTTGTACACTTGCCCCTCCCCCCCACCCAGCCGACACTCTTCACCTACATTTCCGTATTTCTCCTTCCCCATATCAGGGCCCAAGGCTCCCCAGAGGTTAGATTGGATGAGAGCCCATTCTGCCATCAAAGAAAGGATCTAAATGCTATCATGTCTTCCTTCCATAGCCAGGGCACCTCCAGGCTGAAAAGGCTAGCTGGATATCTGCCAGTCTGCCAACCAGGCTGTCACCAGGAATGGTTCTGAGTTTGGTGGCTAAGATTGGGCTGATCTCCAGTTCAGATGGTAGAATGGGAAAGTCTTGGGATATGAGTTCCTACCTGGCATCATCTCCAGGAAGGATACTATTAATGAAAAAGGACCAGTTTGTAGCAGTCCTTTCCTAACTCTTGACATCTTTATTCCAGAAGAATCTCCCAAAGCCACCAAGCCCTAGGTTAGAACAGGTACTTAAGCCAGGTGCCAGTGGCTCACACCTGTAATCCTAGCTACTCAGGAAGCTAAGATCTGAGGATCAGGGCTCAAAGCCAGCCCAGGCAGGAAAGTCAGTGAGACTTTTTTTTTTTGTTCAGTCCTGGGGCTTGAACTGTGGGCCTGGACGCTGTCCCTCAGCTCTTCAGCTCAAGGCGAGCACTGTACCACTTGAGCCACAACGCCACTTCTGGCTTTTTCTGTTTATGTGGTGCTGAAGAATTGAACCCAGGGCCTCATGATGCAAGGCAAGCACTCTACCACTGAGCCACCTTCCCAGCCCATCAGTGAGACTCTGATCTCCATGAACCACCAGAAAACAGGAAGTGACATTGTGGCTCAAGTGGTAGAGTGCTGGCCTGGAGCTGAAGAGTTGAGGGACAGCGCCTAGGCCCAGAGTTCAAGCCCTAGAAACAGCAAAAAAAGAAAAACAAGAATAGGCATTTAGCAGAGCCCTTACAGAAGAGAAGCCATTTGGGTGGAGCACAAGCCAAGCTTGCTGTTAAGAGAGGTAAACCCTCTGGAGCACCACTTAAGAGGAGGTGGGCAAGTCCATAGAAGATTTTAACAGATGCCTTGTATCCTTGCCCATCAGAAGTGGAATGACCATAGCTGCTGGGCAATACTGCCAACATGGCCACTGGGGACTTCTGATGCCTCCACTTCTCTGTGTCAGCAACAACAGGGACAGCCTAGAGCCTTCCAGCAGAGAGCCAAAATCTCTACCATGCCAAGGAATAGGAGAGGAAAGGCAACAAGGACATGAGCACAGATAGTCCAGTGTGGTTTCCCTCCTGCCTTCAAACCTGGCACCTGGTAAGTTGGCACTGACAGGAAGGTCCTTCCGTATTGCTGCCAGGACTACCATCTTGGACACACCCTTTACAGACTGGTTTAAAGCCTGCCAGGGCTGAGAGGGTCATTCTAGTCACTTCCTCTTTTTTTGGGGGGGTCCGGTCGTGGGGCCTGAACTCTGGGCCTGGGCGCTGTCCCTCAGCTCTTCAGCTCATGGCTAGCTCTCTACCACTTGAGCCACAGCGCCACTTCTGGCTTTTTTCTTTTTGCTTATGTGGTGCTAAGGAATTGAACCCAGGGCCTCATGCATGCAAGGCAAGTGCTCTACCACTGAGCCACCTTCCCAGCCCCTAGTCACTTCCTCCTAAGGGTCAAAGAAGACAGATTGGAAACCTTGCCTCGTTCTAGTAGCTCTTTGTGTTTGAAAGTGGCATGCAGTCAGATGCTAAGCTGGTTGAAGGGGCAACCCCCACCCACTTCTTTTTTTTTTTTTTTTGTCAGCTATGGAGCTTGAACTCTGGGCCTGGGCGCTGTCCCTCAGCTCTTCAGCTCAAGGCTTGAACCACATCGCCACTTCTGGCTTTTTCTTCCATTATGTGGTGCTGAGGAATCAAACTCAGGGCCTCATGAATGTAAGGCAAGCGCTCTACCACTGAGCCACCTTCCCAGCCACTTCTGTATAAGCTAACAATCTACCTCTTGTCTTCACACTTACCCTACCTCTCTGTCCATTTTTTTTGGTCCTGGACAGAAACTTTCTGAAGGCCCCAAAACCTCTCATTAGAGGGGCCATCAACTGGTCTTGTCCTACTTGAACAACTCTGAGGAAAGCTTAGTTTTTCTTCCTAGGCCCAGCCTTCCTGGTCCCATCTCCTGCACTAGATGAGGTCAAGACATACTTATATCTTTTGGACTTAGCAACAGAGAGCCAGGTTGTAATGGCCCAGAATTAGTTCTAGAGCTTGCCTTGGGTGATTGTCTCCATCTACTACCCTAGACCACCTGATGAGACACTCATTGAAGGATGGATGTGGTCTGTCCTTAACTGCAGAACTCCGGTGAAGTGTAAACTCAAAGCTAACTTCTGCTAAATTCACAGCGCTACCTGCTAAGGACCCATTTCACAAATGAGCAAAATCAGGGCATCTGGTAAATACAAAAGAAAAAGGCTTGCATTAGGCTGCCACCCAAATAAAACATCCCCAAAACCAAACAACACACTCAAGAATAATGTTGGAAGCTGGGTGCCAGTGGCTTACACCTGTAATCCTAGCTACTCAGGAGGCTGAGATCTGAGGATCACGGTTCAAAGCCAGCCCAGGCAGGCAAGTCCGTGAGATTCTTATCTCCAATAAAGCACTAGAAAACCGGAAGTGGCGCTGTGGCTCGAGCGGTAGCGCTCGCCTTGAGCTGAAGAGGGCAAGGACAGCACTCAAGCCCAGAGTTCAGGCCCCATAACTGACAAAACAAAAACAAAAAACAAAAACATGAATAATGTTGGAAGTAGAACTGTGGATCTCCTGAATGCTAGGCATCCACAGGTCTGGGAGAGTAAGAGCTAAATGAAGTTAAAAGTATTGGGCTGGGAAGGTAGCTCAGTGGTAGAGTGCTTGCTTTGCATGCATGAGGCCCTGGGTTCGATTCCTCAGCACCACATAAGCAGAAAAAGCCGAAACTGGTGCTGTGGCTCAAGGGGTAGAGCACTAGCCTTGAGCTGAAGGCTGAGAGACACTGCCCAGGCCCAGAGTTCAGGCCCCACAACCAACAAAAAAAAAAATTGTACTGCCCTCGCCCTGCAAATAGTTCAGCTGAGACTCCTGCTGCTGCAGATGGCTTAGTTTACATAAATGTGAAGGTCTCCTCCCCTCTGGTGTCATCAGCAGGCTCCTGGGGTGGGTGACACAGGCTTACTAGAGAACA